TATTACATGTGTAATATTCCTAACTCGGTTTGAGCTTTTTATTTCCAACCAAACTTCATGTATAAAGCCGATAAATAACGGTATTCTAGTAATAGTTAACCACATAATTGTATTTAAATTAGCAAAACTATTAATTAAAGTGTTAATGTTGAGAGCAATTACCAAAAATTGCACAAGTGTTGCAGAGTGTTTTCGGTCCTAAAGAGGTTCTTGGCCGAAAACGGGTTCTCGACCGAACACAGGTTTTCGGTCGGAAATAGGTTCTCGGACATGGGTGTTTTCGGTCACTTGAAGATATGTGTAACATCTCGTTTAAAATAGAATAATTAAATAATAAACTCGGAACCCTGAGAAGTAATTTTTATTATTTTAGATTATTATAGCCCAAAATCAAATAACAATTAGCGAGGTGTTGGTTTCGGAAAGCCAAATAACATGATGTAGAGTTTCGGGGGTTAGACATCTGGATTTGTTTTGCAAAAGATTCTCAAAGTTGAGGGCCAATTGGTAACATAAGGACATAATATGAAAGAATCTTGGATGATGGGGGATGCTTTATAAATTATGGCCTAATCTTGAAAAGAAATAGGGAAAAAGGGACCAAAGGTGTTATTTGGACACAAAGTTTGTGTGATCGGGTATTAAACCCGTCACCATGCATCGGCCACAAACCCTAACCCTAGATACATAATGCAGCCGCCACTCTCTCCACCCTTGTCCATCCAGCCGCCACCACCCTTATTCTTCCTCCAATCTCTAGCATCGTAACTCTCCCTTCTATCGAGTCACAAACCATCGTCGTTGGAATCGTCGAGCACCACCACGACAGCCCATGTCAGCTGTGATGTTAATATCTAAAATGTTTTTAATGTTTTTAAATTGTTATCATTATCAAAATTATATATATATATATATATATATATATAATATATATATATATATATATATATATATATATATATATAAATTATATAATTTGGATTCGGTAGATTTAGATAGTGTTGGTTTTTTATCTGCAGATCTGTATGGCCTCTTCTGTCTGCGTCGCACAGACCACGCGCAGACATTAGTTTTTGCAGACTGTTTGTTTTTTTGCAGACTGCAGACCTAAAAATGTATGCGCACCCTCTTCTTTACGTAGATGTGGACTAGAGTCTTCTAACATCTTCAGACATCTTCTAGCCTAAAATATATATATATATATATATATATATATATATATATATATATATATATATATATATATATATAATGTTTTTTTTTAGTTATATTTTTCCAACTTTATTAATGATAAACAATTTGAAAAAAAAAATTACAAAACTTCAAAAAAAAAAAAACATTGGACGATACAAACATGATATTTTTGACAAATTTATAAATAAAGATTTATTAAAATAATAGTCGTTGAAGTTGTTTATATAAATATGAAAAGAAAAAAAATCATAATATATTCTTATATTTTTTGTCAAATTTTGTAAAACATTATTTAATACAGTATCGTCAATTTCTCGAGAAAATATTTATGGTACGTTTTTAATGGATTTAATTGTAAAAAATCGAAACTTATTTCCATCCATTTATATATCAAATTCTTTGATCACTAATTATAATATGTAGTTATAACTTTATAACCGAAGTTGTTGGTTTTTATCAAATATATACGTTAATTCATACAATTTTTACTTTTATTTTTTATACAATAATACATAAGAGTTGATCTATAATTGTTAATTATTTATAACAAAGTCATAAAAATATTAAAAAATCACTTTGTAGTTTAAAAAAATCAGTTTATTTAGATTTCAGTTTATTTTGGTAGCCCACAGATGTTAAAAAAACAAACAGTCTTTTTTTTCAAACTGCAGACGTTTACTCCACCTTTTCTACTATAAAGGTCTACAGATGTGGTCTGCAGACTGCAGACATTTTGCTCTAGAAAAAAAAAACACCTTAGAATATATATGTAATTTGACCCCATTTCTTGTTCCTTGTTTGGTTGTGGACTTGCGGTAAAGTTATTTATTCGAATGTCTAATTAATCACAATTATATAAATATTATATTTATATAGATATAAAATGGTTTTCAAACTGTTTAGTACTATTTGAGTACAGATAGTGGATTTCATGGAATAACAGTATTATAGATTCTTATAAAATTTAAAAAAGGTTTTCATTACAGTAAAACAAACATATAAACTATAATCGGTATAGTTTATGGAACTTATTCATTGATTTTAGGGTTCAGATTACAAAAAACAAACAGAGTACATTACAGGAAACAAACAGGGTACATTACAGAAAACAAATAGAGTACATTACTGAAAACAAATGTAACAACGTAAATTTTCAACCCAAATTTTTCATTTTTAATTTCATAAAACACATGTCATTTTAAATAAACATCATTTAATGCTCAACAAAGTTTTCAAAGCATTATCAAAATCCAAGATCCTCATTTATAACTCTTTTCTCTTTGCGTGTACAATCGAGCCACCACCTTCCCGTGATCCTGATAAGAACCTGAAACACATAACACATAATACGGTAAGCACAAAGCTTAGTGAGTTCCCCAAAATACCACATATAACACATATTAGCCATTCAAGACTATAACTCTGTATAACCCTCTGGTCAATGTGTCTCAGTGGAACCTTCCAGTCCCATAACTGTGGACCCTCTGGCCTCTGGTCCTAACTCTATGGACTCTCTGGCCCTAACTCTATGGACCTTCCGGTCCTAACTCTGTAAACTCTGAATCATACATAGCACAAATCACATAGAAATAATACAGTGTATCACATCATATAAATAACATACAAGATACTCTGTCACATCACTCTAATTACCACTCTTGGTAAAGTATAGTGAGAAGAATCACCTCGCATGACGAACAGCTCCCTATAAACGTTGCTGCTACGCACCGACCTCTAACTCGGTGCCAAATCCACAACTATCTCAATTAGGAACTAAGTCACAACTCTCACTCATTAGGTCTAAAGGTAGTCCACCAACTTGGTCCAAAATAACTCAACTCATTAGGCCCACTAAGTCCCAATACTAAATGGGTCCACTCAAAACCCAATCCCTTAAACTTGAGTAAAAAGGCAAGCCCAACACAAGGGCCCACTAATGGCCCAACCTTCCCAATTGGGCCCAACCGCCAAATGGACTTAGCCCGACAGTCCATAACCTTTCACAAATCCTTAGGAGGGAGAAAAGACCATTTTTCCCCTCTAAATCCACATTTGCTCGAACCCTAAAAGCCAACAAAGAGGTCAACGCATGGCACGTACGTTGGGCGTACGTGTTATTACGCGAGGCGTACGTCCAGACATGCATGCAACAGGGGTGGCTCAGCACTACGTTGCACGTAACTGGGAGTACGTTAGGCGTACGTCCCAAACTTGCTTATCCCACCCAAACAACCTTAATCTGTTAAGACAAAGGCTACCATTCCAGATCTCAGTCAAATGAAGTCTCTTAAATCATAAAGTTGATGACTTTAAGCCCCCCCTCAAGGCTGAATAAGTCTAGATCTCGAATAATCTCACACATTCACCATAAACATTATAGTATCTCTTAAAGGGGAAGGTCTTGACAACCAAGACTCCATTTTTATGGACTATAGCGTCTGAATACATCAAGAAGGACGGTTACAAGGCTCTGGGTGGAACAACCCAGAAAATTTTAATCTTTGGGGACATAAACCCTAAAATGGACCTTTAAATGAACTTTGCAAAATACGACTAAAGCTTTGAGCTTGATACCTCTGAATGATGCTCCATCCTCAAGGAAACTGAGATCCATAAGCTTGAACATCCACTCTTCTTCTTTCAAAGCCTCCAAAAGCACTCACAAGATGAGAAACGGGATTTAGAGTTTTGAGAGGATGAAGGTGCTAGAAAATGGTGGCTAAATATGAAGGCATGATGTTCTTTAAATAGGGATGCTCCAAAAGTTAGGGTTTTCTTCCATGACCTATTACGCCCAGCGTACTGGGTGGCCTTCGCGTTCCTCCCACGCATACAAGTACGCCCGACGTACCCATAATTACGCCCGCGTACTCAAACTGTCATACTTTTCAAAATAGGGACTAAACTTGCCAAAACTCCAAACTGTTGTAGCTCCTTCATTACAGGTCCGTTTACTACAAATTTTATACCCACAGAAAGGTGACGAGGAGTTCTACGCTCCCAGCAACTTGCCGCAACCCGAGAACATGGCAAGCTTTGAATTGTAAATTATTTTTTTTGTATTCCAAGACTAATAAAATAATGACTTGATTCTTTTACATTAACACAGATAATTTGAATTGTAAATTATTTTTCAATATTTATTAATTCCAGTAAATAGGTACAACCCAATGTATATTTCTAAGCTTAGTGGCAAGCTTCTTTTTTTACTCAGAAAGGAGATTTGTTTTAATATAATTCCAAACCATCAGGAATAAATAAAAGGTCCGGCCAATACTCCATTAATAGTCGATAAAGAGAGTGTTAAGTTTTTTCACACAACTAATCAACAGTCAAATCTCATTTCCTGAATAACGAATCATCAAATAGTAATGATATTTAACAACTTCGTAGCATGTGATCATGCCTTATCAATGATTTTAGGTCTGGAAGTTTGAAGTTGATATATTAATTTTTTTTTAATCTCTAACCAAACCATATTGGCGACCAAACTTCTAGAAATGCCATAAATAAAACTTCTAGAAATGCCATAAACAAAAAAAGAAAAAGGACAAATTATGCAAAATAATACATTTCACAGAAGCACAAGGGAATGGTTGAGCTACAAAGTCTGTATACAGCCAGCAAGATCCGTCATGTAGAAAATTTTGAATTTAGTAATTTACCTCTACTCATATTTAAACAACTACGCATAACCACCTCATACTTAAGATGGAAAGGTTGAGTAATTACTTACTATTATTTGCACAAAAAAAAAGGTAATGAACTCTTTTTGTGTATGTTTTGTTTGGTATGCACGAATAAGATCATGCAGATTTAGATTTGTTGCAGTGCTTTTCAAGCCATTCCATTGTAACACTTTTAGGTCTCTCTAATGGCAACCCAAGTGCTCTGTCCCATATCAGCTGTGAAACAATTGAGGGATGAAGAATAACATTAATTTCAATTTATTAATAATGTCATCATCACAGAATAATTGGTTCATGTAGGCCCCATTTGGCAGCACTAGTATACTTGTATTTGGCATGAACATAAAGTTTTGTGATGAATCCAAGTCCAAGTCAAATATATATTTTACTTATTGATAGAGTGGGGCACAACGAACCTGAGAGCAGATTCCAATGGATCTGGATACACCAAACAGAACAGTGTAATATCTGCCAAAAATAAATAACAAACAACCATCCATTATTACTTATTAGAAAGAAAGAAAAAAAATTGAAGTTTTGTACTCCTATTTATTTTGTGGGTCTCATTATCCAAATAAAATTGAGAAATGAAAAAAATGCATACCTTGCTTCAGTTAAACCGTAATAGTTAAGCAACACCCCACTGTGAGCATCAACATTGGGCCAAGGTTTTTCACCTACATTAAAACAAAACATTGGTCATGGTTGACAAAGGAGTTTAGTTTTCAATATACAACTAAGTTGGACACATTAATATGTTTTAGGGTTAAATGCATGAAATAGCAACATTCTTTCATTTACTTATTGATTCTTCCTGAACAACATTGTAAATTAGGATCGATACATAGCAGTTACCTTGCCAAGTTCTGTTAGGATCGGAGGCACCACTTCATAAAGCTTTGAAACCTAATCAAATTACGAAGAAAAAAAAAGTAAGCAAAATTGGTATCAAGAGTCCATGACAAGGTTAAACTGGACTGAGATTGATGTCAATGGGACAAAAATTGCAACTTTTTGTTCAACCCAAAAAGGTGAGGCATAGACATGCTATTCATCTCTTGTATGTGAAAAAGACGTAAATGCCCTCCTCATCCATGTCATCAAAAATAGCCCTATAAAGCTCCATCAGGCAATAAGGTGCTAACCAACTAAAAGAGAGGATCATCAGGCAAGTGCTTTAATGTAAATTCTCTTTGACACATGTATCTGGGATCCGTTTTCCTTAAAACTCCATGCCCAAATCCTGGAACAACCTGCGTTTCAATACCATTAATTAATTTTCTCTTGATTAGCGTAACCAATTTTCAATAAAATTTATTTAAAAACTTCCACAAAGGATTTTTAATAAGTGTTACACATTACCTTCCCACTATTCAAGGTTTTCCAGACATAGTCTTTCAATTGATCATTGGTTATGTTCTCTGCACATTCATCCACCACTGACTTTATCCAAAGCAAAACTTCCTGCACCAAAGAAAAAAAAAAACAATCTTGTTATTCAAAACTGAAAAAGAAAAAAAGTACATTGTATAAGATTCTAGTCAGAAAAAGAAAAAAAATAGTTTTAGGGTACCTGATTAGCCAAACCATGGAGGGGTCCAGCTAGACCATTTAATGCTGCAGCAAATGAGAGGTATGGATCCGATAAAGCACTAGCAACCTAAAATAACCATCAAAAAACATATCCTATAACTACTTATAGCATTAGGGAATTACACTTTGGAAATCTACCAAATTATAGCAGTGAAAATTTCTTTGTATTTGAATGACATTGCTATAACTAGGTAAACTTTCCAAGTATAAAGTAGGATGCTATAATAAACAAATAAACGAAAGTGCGTTTTATTTTTGTAACTTACAAGATGTCCAGTATGAGCACTGACATTTCCACCTTCATGGTCACTACAATAAATCAAGATTTCATAATCCTTAAAACGTCAATTCAAAAAATATATATAAATAAACAAGTAAATAATCATAAATCATATTCTTACGTATGGATAGTGACATAAAGCCTCATAAGCTCTTGCATGGCTGGACTATCAAATCCAAGCATATGCGCAAAATTTGCACCATAATCTAACGAATCATCCGTTGATACAACTTCTCCATTTTTATATATCCTTTTTATTTAAATATAGCAAGTCAAATCAACTATAAACAACACTCAAAACTTTCATTTTTCAATATGAAATTATGTAGAAATGGCATTTAATTGGATATACACAGACATACCTACGGTATATATATGCAGCTACAGCTGGCAGTTGAGCAATCAATGAAAGAGAATCCTCAAATGTCGGCTCCCAGTATCTTGAATCATAATAATAAGTATATAAATCATGTTTTGCATTGTGTTAAAAAATATAAAAATTAGAAGAAACCCACTTGGATTTATGGATTCCATTCTCATAAGCTTTTGCAAATTCACTTTGTACCTGTGAAAAAAGTTATATACTTGCTTTTAATGAGTTCAACTTAACAGCATGACTTTATTTAAATATAAAGAGACAGGTTTCGATATTTGTCTTGGGGCAAATTGCAGGAAATAGCAACATCCCTATATATATATATATATATATATATATATATATATATATATATATATATATACACAAACATAGGCAGTGTACTTTCTATTTTGTAAGTATGTAATATGTTGCTATTATGGGTTAAAATACAAATACATTGCTACTATTGGTTAAAAAATAAAGTACATGAAAAAGCTAACCTGAAGAGCCATGACACCAGTTGTAAACTGAGTCATTGGATGAGCTGTTATAGGTAATGCATTGATGGTTTTATACACATGATCTACAACAATAAACAGAATACACAAATAAATAAATAAGTTCAACTTTTTATATATTTAAATTAAAAGGAAATGAAATTACATGACCTAGGATAATGGCACGAGTGCATAATTCTTTGGACAAAGCATTCACTTGTTCTGTTGTTGGTACCTTTATTGATGGAGAATATAGAAACAAAAAAATGTCAATAAAGAAAATAAAAATAAACAAATGGCATATTATTATTAACATTTAACAGTTTACCTTTCCAGTTAAAAGAAGCCAGAGAAGACCCTCAGGTAATGGCTCTCCACCAGGTTTTGCTGCTGGCAACACCTTCTGGCATTCAGGTATGGAGAGACCCCGAAACCGAATTCCCTGAATTATTATTTATTTATGTAACATATTTTAATATCAATATCATTGACTAGTTTATAATGACTAAAGATAGATAGATAAAAAAAAAGTTCATGAACAGGAAGATAGAAGATATAATACCTCATCTGGATCAAGTAAGGATGTTTCCCATAGCAGACCTGTCATTCCTCTCATCCCACCAAGTACCTTGTGAAAATTTGTAACACAAGATGTAAATATTATGAAACTTAAATAGATAGTGAAAAACCAAAAAGTTACAAAATAGGCTTTAAGTAAAGAAACATTGATTTACCATATCAACAGTAATGTTGCCCAATTGAACTTTTCCATATTCTGACTTTATCTTTTTCAGACGCTCCTGCACAAAAATGAGTGATTAATGATATTTTTCATCACCAATTGAAGTTTTTTAGTGACTTGTTATGTCATATGTGTGAAGCATTAATGTAGGAAATGCACCTGCTGTTCTGGAATTAATTCCTTAAGCTGTGCACGAAGGTCCTGCATGAAAAAGAGACAATGATATTAAGGCTTCTAATACAATAATTTCAAAGTTCATGCATCAATAGATAGAATCTCATATTGGAATTTAGTTTGAAGAAAAAACATCAACTGTGAAAACTCACAAGGTTAGAGGAGGTCTGGATTTGAAGCCACCTGACTGAGTTGCTCAGACTTGGCTGTTGAACCTATCAAACAACAAATTGAGGATTGAAAAAGGCCTCAAAAATAAAGAGAGATGATTAATGATTTGTTTTATCTACTTACTCCAGTCAAAAACAGATAAAGGCTCAACAATGGAGAATTCCTACCATTCCACTATAGAAAAATCTGATTAGCTACATTACCACTGCTTAATAAGGACTATAACTTGACTTCAAAATCCAAATAGGTTATCTTCTGATTCAAAAATGCAATGACTTATGATGTTTTGAGAAAAGAGATTGTGATAACCACATTTAATATTACATGACTTGGAAAGTAACAACAAAAACCTAAATCCTTTATGTATCCAACAATTATCATGTTCGACTTCAAATATTCCACTTCTAAAAGAACATAGAGACTTTGCAAATATATATACATCGAAGGTTAATCAATCAATAATGAGCACTTACAGCACGATTTCTTAGCTTAGAGAGCAGCGAAACACTCCTATAGAACACCATGGTCAAGGATCAAACGCTACTGCATTTGCACATATAATTTCATCAAAGGGGAGCAAAATATACATTTATATAGAAAAATCTTTAACAGGTAAGAGAAGAGAAGATTGAAATGATGAAGAACGTACCTTCAGTTTGTGAAAGGTCGAGAAATGGGAAGAGATGGAATAATGTAATGAAGTCGAGGGAATATTGGGGGAGAAGGTGGCATTGAACGAGTAAACACTAAACAATAAACATAACATATGAGAAAATAATTTCATTGTTTTATGGTAAGTAATCACATTTTAGAGATATTAACCTCGTTCACCAATTACTTATAAAAGATATCAATATTTTGATCATGTTTTTTGAAAAAAATGAAGAGGTTTGACTTTTTCAAGCTACTTCATCTTGTAAAATAGTTCGAAAACAAAAAGTATTTTAAAAAAAGTGACTCATATTATAATGAATTTTTAATTTAATTATTTTTTAACATAATTTATCAGTAAATTTATTTTTATGTTTAAAAAATATTATTATAACTGATTATGGCATGTTATAATAATGATATTTTTTAAACACTAAAAATAAGTTTACTAGTAATTTATATAAAAAATGATTAAATGTTAATAAAGTCGAGAGTTTGTTAATATTATAAGTCATTATCTCTTATTGATCTTTCCTTTTTTATTTTATTAGAAAAATCTATTAATTTGTAAAATATTTGTTTTATAAAAAATTATTTTGTAAATCTAATTTTAACTTCTTTCTTATATTGATAATAAATAATTAAACATTAAAATATCACTTACCATCCATCATAATTATAATAAATGGAAATTATTCTAATAGTCATTCTAAAATTATTTTATTTTGAATTTCAATTGTTTTCAAACTTTAACAAGGAAAAATGTTAAACACGTGACATGAACATTTGACTGATACATAAAAGTTTTTATAAAAATCAATATTTATGAATTTTATTACAAAAAGTAATGAAAATTATTCTAATAGTTAATTTATTAACACTTATGTTTTCTCTCTTAAAACTTTGTGCTATAAATATTTATAGCAAATTATTTTGCAAGTCCATTTTTAATCTTCTTCCTATAATGATCAAAAGTAAGTAAGTAATTAAATATGAGTTTAGTTTTATTAGAGACATTAATTTTCTAAATCTAATTTTATACCTATTTCTTATCTTGATAAGATATAATTAAACATTCAAATGCAACTTATCATCCATAGTATTCAATTGTTTTCAAAAAAATTCAAGCTTTTACAAACATTTTAGCAATACATAAAAGTTTTTTGTAAAAATAAATATTTATAAATTTTACAACAAAAAGCAATGAAAATTATTCTAATATTTAACTTATTAACATTTATTTTTTTCTCCCTTAAAACTTTGTGTATAAATATTTCTAACAAATTATTTTGTAAGTTCATTTTTAATCTCCTTATACCGATCAAAATCAATTAAACAATTAAATATGACTCTAGTTTTATTAAAAACTTTAGCCTTCTTCAAGTTTTCACAAATAAAATGTCAAGCGGATGGGAACATCAAACACTTGTACCAACATTTGAGCGACATACAAAGTTATAAGAGAAAAAAATATATCATTAAACTTTAAGATTTTAACAAAGAATCGGAGTTTGATGTTCTAAGAGAGAAAGATATTGTTCTTAAACTTTTGTATATCATTCAAATGTTTGTACAGGTGTTTAATGTTCCTATCCACTTAACATTATTACTTGATAAAAATAAAGTTGCATGTAAAATAATGTTTTTAATGATCATCAAAATAATTTCAAATTATTATAAGTATGTTTGTTGATAAGTTACATTGTAATGCTTTCAGATTAACTTTTATCAAGATAAGAAAATGTTTTTAAAAAAAGTTACAAATAAAATTTTATAGAAGTGAATATTTTACAAATTAATAAATTTTTTAATAAAATTAGAATGAAAGATTAGGAAATGATAATGAATTATGAGATCACAAAATTTATTTTTATTCAATTTTAATGGCTTTCTTTTTGTGTAAGTAATTTATCAATAAACTTATTTTTTGTGTTCAAAAAATATATTTATGATCGGCAATAACCGGTTAATAGTATTTTTTTAACATAAAAAATAAATTCACATATATAAAAAACGATTAAATATGAATAAAATCAAAATTTCTACTTTTATAAATTATTTAAAAAATTACATTTTTTAAAATGTTGGTATATATTCAAACTAATAGTATTGTGTTTGATTGGTGTTCAAAAGTAACATTTTTTAAAATGTTGGTATATATCCTTTTGAAATAACATCATTGTTAGCGATGTTACAACATGCACTGAAAACTTGCAATTAAAAATATATTCCAACGTAATATTAAAATGAAAAATACATAAAGTTAAAAAAGAAAAAACAATTTTTACTTAAAAATTGATTGCTAGAGATGTCCATGGACACATGTTGTGACTATGTGGATTGGCCTTTGGAAGTATGGGTTCACGGGTTCATCATCTATGTAAAGTCAATCTATCTTCTTTGTAGAGATTGCGGGCTGTAGTACGCCTGTAAAAACCGAATCGCCGACCTTTCGTCCCTAGACGTAGGCCAAATGACACCAGTCAAATCTTACTCTACGATGACGAGGTGTCCTTTGGGGCACTAGCAAGCTCCCCTTACTTACTATTTTTTATACCAAATTTGGATTCATAGATGCAGATGGATGTCACCACCATAAACGCCAAATTCTACTTTTCTTCTTTGGCAGATTCCAATGTTCTGAATATCTACACGTCCCCAAAAATTTAGGGTTCACTATCAAAGTTTTGCTTTCATCATCAACCCGGATTAAAAAAACATGCGGTTCCATTTATCTGGATGCTCTAACTGGCACCTCGGTTTCAGTAGATTGAATTCAGTAAGTTTCGTTCTCTTACTCTATCCATCTCTTCTTATCTCTACGGATTGTTAGTTCAATTTTGATTTTATGTTTCTATTCCTGAATTTGAATTGTTTGTGATTTGAGCTGATTACAAAGAATTGGTAGTGTCAGCGAGGGCTATTTATCATTCCCCTTTAGGGTTTGAAGGGTTAAGTATTTTCATACCATTTCCCGATTAGAAAAGGGAAAAAGTAGAACAATTGTTCTACGTCTTTAACTTTTGAGAAAATTTTGAAATCATCAAGAAAGGGTATGCATCGGTGAAGATCAATAGTCTAATCTTCATTACTCTTCTTGCTCCTTTTTAATTAGTTCCCAAACAATAAAGAACAATTGAACAATTCTTTGATAAGCTGGAATACACGAAAGGATAATTAACTCATCTACCTTTGATAAACAGGCCAAATCTAGAATAAAATCCTTCTTCCAGTTAGGATCTGATCATGGCCAGCTTCTTACCACAAATCATATTGAAAATTCTTGGACAAGAACGTATGCAACTATGCCTGAAAAGATCCCAGAAGATGATCCAATTTCAAATATGTTGGTTGATTCATTTGGAAGACAGCACACTTATTTAAGAATATCCTTAACAGAACGCTGCAACCTACGTTGCCAATATTGTATGCCAGCTGAAGGCGTGGAGCTGACACCTGGATCCAAGGTTATGTCACAGAATGAGATTGTACGTTTAGCAAGTTTATTTGTACATTCTGGAGTCAACAAAATCCGGTTGACTGGTGGGGAGCCCAGCATTCGGAAAGACATTGAAGAAATCTGCTCACAGCTTTCTAACTTAAGAGGACTAAAAACTCTTGCCATGACTACAAATGGCCTCACTTTAGCAAGAAAGCTTCCAAAACTAAAAGAATGTGGCCTTAATTTGCTTAATATCAGCTTAGACACACTCGTTCCAGCAAAATTTGAATTCATGACTAGGCGAAAAGGGCATGAAAGGGTAATGGAGTCAATTCACACAGCAGTAGACCTAGGCTACAACCCTGTTAAGGTATGCATCATCTTATTGGAATCGAATTATCGAACCCCATGTTTTTTTTTTTTTTTTTTTTTTTTTTTCAGTTTTTGGGTATTGATTTTTTGAATTGTTTATTTTGATCAGGTGAACTGTGTTGTGATGAGGGGATTCAATGATGATGAGATTTGTGATTTTGTAGAGTTAACAAAGGAGAAACCGATTAATGTACGTTTTATTGAGTTCATGCCATTTGATGGTAATGTTTGGAATGTCAAGAAACTTGTATCCTATGCTGAGATGTTGGACATAGTGGTAAGGTACAACTCAGGCATACATATATCATATATGATCCTATGTATTTTTCTTTTTCTTTTGTTGTCGCTGATAATTATAAAATAAAAAACAGGGTAAACGTTATACAGGGATTAAAAGAATTCAAGATCACCCAACAGAAACTGCCAAGAATTTTACAGTAGAAGGGCATCAAGGCACAGTTTCCTTCATCACTTCAATGACTGATCACTTCTGTTCTGGTTGCAATAGGTTGAGACTTTTAGCTGATGGAAACCTAAAAGTATGCCTATTTGGCCCTTCAGAGGTATATATATTGGTTTCGAATCTTGTGTCATAATTTTCACTGCTTTAATTTTGTAGATTTTTCAAAGTATGTTAGTTTTAATACTTTTTTTTTTTTCAAAATTCATTTACAGGTTAGCTTAAGAGATCCTATCCGTGAAGGTGCTGATGATAATGAGCTGAGACAAATTATTGGGGCTGCGGTATGTTTTAACTATTATTTTGTATGTGATTTTTTTATTTTTTTAATACATGTACGAATGATACATATTCAGGTGAAGAGAAAGAAAGGGTCTCATGCTGGAATGTTTGACATTGCAAAAACACCAAATAGACCAATGATACATATTGGTGGTTAACTTCCATTTTTACCTTTCAGTAAGTTTCTTATTCAACCAACAAATATCTTTTCAGATGTGAATTTTTGTGGGTTTGGGGATTTACACATGGAACTTATGATTAAGAGTCTAATAAAAAGATTGGATACTTTTTTTTTTTTTTCAGGTTCTAAATTATGGTTTCAAAGATTGAAGTGCTTTCATAAACATCCACTTCACGTACTAAATCAAACACACACGGATCATAAGCACATGAAGTGTACTACATAGTAATGAAACCATCTGTAGCCATGCAGCTGTTGTGTTTGTGATATTTCGTGTTTATATTGATATTAGTAACCAATATGTGTTTTTAGCGCTTTGAGAATGACTTTATTTTGTTATTTTATAAAGTATATAAGACCTTAACTTGGATCTTTATTAAGTTTTTAAGCGCCAACTACATGTTAATGTGCTTCTACTTTTGGTGGATATTTTTAGGTGATTTCAAATCAATCTTGTGTTATGTAACGTTATGGCTCTCATAGATGTTTTCAAGATACTGAAGCTCTCAAATTGAGCTTTCCTTATTCGAGCATATTTCTGGTGAATATGTTTGAACTATTCGAAGTTAAGCCTAATTAAATTGGGATATACAATATGGGCATTAATAATACATAAATTTGCTTTTACAAGTTAAAACAATTTAACTTTTGTTTTTGCTTTTGGGTAAATGTTACTGTAACTCAACCAATTTATCATTTTTGTCTTAAAACCAACTTATCATTTTTGTCTTAGAATGTCCTTAATGTCTTTTTTTTGCTTTCTAAGGGTATAAAATCCTTATTGACCTGTTAAAAATGGTATATAGAATTTTTTTTTGTCCAGTTTCACAGGTAAAAATAGTATGACATGATTATAAATATGACATGGCTATATGAAATTTGTTGACCAAGGGTCTTAGACTAAACGGTGTGGGGTGCGGTTTGGAACAACGATGCTGACACGTGGACCGCGAACACCGCCCCCAGGGTGCAGTTTCGTGCGGCTATACAAGACCACGAAGCCTGATTGGTTGTTGCATTTTCCCATGTTTGAACGTTGAAGATTCGTGTAATTTTTTTTTAACCATTACTTCATATATATATATATATATATATATATATATATATATATATATATATATATATATATATATATATATATATATATATATATATATATATATATATATATATATTACCATTTTAACTATTTCACCACCTTCACTCCAACTTTAAACATATATTTACACAATCTTTTCATCCAATTTTTTTTGAAAAAATATCTTCTTCCAAAAGATCTATAAAAAAAAAAAAAAAAAAAAAAAAAAAACTAGTTAGAAACACCAACACCTCAATACCTTCATTTGATCAACCGATTTTCTCACATCCGTATTACCACTACGGCGGTATGCTTCCGTTTTTTCCACAACGACCAGCGCAACCACTATCACAAACACCACCACTACCACAACCCGATCTAGATTTTAATCTATTTGATTTTTTGTCTCAACCCGAGTTTGTTCAACAAACACAAACACAACCAGAAACGATCGTTTCTGATTCTGAACCGGAATTCATTACAGAAACTCAGCTCATTCGAGCAGCAACTAAAAGAAAAGAGAAGGCGGAGGCTAGATGTTGGGAACCTTTGGAAGCGTTAGTGTTGGCACAATCTTGGATCGATATTTCAGAAGATGTGACGGTTGGAAAAAACCAAAAGCATGACCGCTTTTGGATTCGCGTTTTACACAGGTTCCATAAAGGAATGAACCGTGGAGAATACCGTTCAAAACATCAAGTGTACTCCAAATGGGAAAAGATGAACAAGGAAGTCATGTTGTTTAATGACTTGTAGAACAACATGAAACGTCAATGGAAAAGTGAAGAAAGCAATGAAGTGATTTTAAAGAAAGCGTTGAAAGTGTATCAAAAAGAAAATCTGAAGGCTTTCAAGTTTCTTGACGTTTGGAATTTTGTGAAAGATAACAAGAAATGGCAAAGTAGCAAAACAACAGACGATCATATGGACAGTGGTTCAAAACGCAGCAGAAATCTGAGTTTGGCCACACTACATCAGATGCTTGTGTTCAATTTGATTTGAACGAGGATGAACCTGTTCCAGTTTCACCACCTTCTCGACCAATGGGAAGAGACAAAGCAACAAGCAAAGACGAAGGCAAAGCGTCAAATTTAGTCATTTAGATGATTTAAAAGAAATGGGAGCCGACATAAAGGGTATAAAAGACAGAATGGATAAGATTTTGCAAATTGCTTCTGAAAGATAGTTTCGGAAACAAAAGAAGAGCGACATGCGAATACTAGCGACAGTCACGTCGAATATGACCAGCGCCAAGCTTGAAGTGGTTTTGGCGATGAATGAGGAAGTGAAACAACGTTACATCAATCATGCCTAATTTCTAGTTTTTTTTCAAGTTTTTAATAGTATGGTGTGTGTGTGTGTGTGTGTGTTTATTTAAGTTGTAGGTTTTATGTTTCTAATTTGTTTTTCAAATTTTTTAGGGTTTTTTTAAGTTAAGTAATGTATGGTATTTGTATTTTTAATTAATGAAATATTATCTTTTTAAAATTATGTTTTTTTATTAAAAAAAATAAGTTTTATTAAATTATAACAGTTAACAAAAAAAAGTATAGCATCATGTGGCAAGAAACCACACTTGTGTGGTAAAAAATGACATGACGTTTATGTGGTGGGGGAGGGAGTGCGGTTTCAAATGACATCAATCCCTCCAACCTTATTAACCTTTAAAAATATATCATTTTTTTCTTTTCTTTCTTCTCTTTGTTGCGTTCTTTCCTCTCTTCACGAATTTTGTTGGTTGCCTTACATCTTCTCCATCCCGTTCTTCTACTTCATCAGTCGATCTTAGCATTGGCGCCGATGCTTTAGCCGATTGATGTTGTGTCGCCGTTGTCTTTTCCCCATGCCGCTGCAGCTGCTATCTTGCCACCTCAACACCGACGTTGATGTATAGCTTCTAAATTCCATTTTTTTAAAAATTTTGTCAATTTATTTAATAATGGTTATTAGTATGAAACCCAAGCAACGTTCTTGTTTCTTCAATGAACCACCAGAGTTGATCTTTCCTTTTCCGGTAACTAAAACGCATATTAAGGTGAAACCCAGTTCTTTGATTGAGCAGAAACACGTCGGAGTCCAATTAAGTCTAATTCTAATTCAACAGAACTAAATGAAGGATATAAGGAAATTTTTAACACTGATTCGATGCTCGATGGAAGATGAGGAAACTAAGGCAAGGATTGATAGTATTATGGGGGTGATGACATTGAGGAATGTAGATGAACGAAACTGGTGGAAGCATAAACAGTGTCAAAGATTTCTTGAAATTTAAATTAATAATTATATAAATAGAAATTTATATAATATTTATATTAATAAAAAAAATCTTGGGTCAACGGAAAAGATTCATGCCTGCCTCCATCTTTTTATCCCTAAAACTTTCCAACTCTGAAATCTCCAAAAACATTTTTGGATTAAAGAACCACAAATTTTGTACAAAAAGAGATTTGGATGAAGATCGTAGGTGGCCCTTCGTGTTTGTGTAGCAAAAGGGCATCTCTGTGATTGAAACGTTGTCACAAACCACCATTTTTGCATAGAAAATGAAGGTATGGAATAATCAAAAATAGGGGGTTTGGAGCAAAAATGAGAGAGAGAGATGTGAGTTTGATTTTTTTTATTACTTACAAAGTAAAAATGCCACGTAATACAGCTTTAACCGGTGAAACCGGAAAAAACGACATACGATACCCAATTTAACCGGTCAATTCTAAGTTTAAGGTCCTATACGACAAAAAATATAAATGAAGGACCTTTTAAAACAAAACCTGAAAGTTGGTTGGGTCACAGTGACATTAACCATTTGCCTTTTAACCGGTTTTACATGTTTTCATCCAGTAGGAAACGTATATTAAATTAAACACGATAACGTAAACAAAATTAAGTCAAAATATAGATAAACTCGAATTTAAACGAATACGTGCATAAAGAAAAAACAAGTATTTTTTTTTTAAATTAACGAATAAAAGCTTTAAATTTACATCAAAATTTGATCACCTTGAATGTATACATCCACATATATAAAAATAAACATGTAAAAAATAGTTTTTTTTGATTAAATGACGAAAATTATTAAAGAAAATCAAATTATATATACCTGGAAAAATAAGCATCAAAGTTTAGAAAATAAAATGTAAAAATAATATTTTATAAAGGTAATAGTGACGTAAATCAAAGAGACATTTTAAAAGTCATATTGATGGAAAAGCAATAAATGCATAAATATAAAATATAGACAAATTTACATAAAAGGTCCTTATGATTTACTTATAGTTACAAACTCAGTCCCACGTAACTAAAAAGACCAAAAGTAGTTGTGTGAGTAAAAAGGATCATTTATGCAAGTTTTAGAAATCACAATGACCATATTTTCAAAAGAATAGCAATAACTGAGTTTGTAACATTTAATAAACGACAAGGACCATTTATGTAATTTTGTCTGAATTAGTATATATTAATAAATTAATTAGTATAAATTCAAAAATGAAAGGTTACTATCAACATTAATATACATTAATTAATAATTCAATATTATTATATTAAGTTTAAACCCGTGGAACTCCATAGTTGATAATTTGAAATAAAATTATAATTTTGATTGTCAAATGAAAAAAAAGATATCAAAGTTTAGACAAAATGAAGAATAGTGATATTGTAATTAACATGAATAAATCAAATACAATAAAGTATTATAAATTAATTAATTAATATGATGTATGAAGTTTGATTTACGAAAACTAAATAAAATATGGTAGAAAAACACTATTTATAAATTCCCAAAAACTTTCTTATAAACAATATTGGAATTTTTATTTGTGAGACTACCATCCTTATCTAAAACTAACAATTTTAATTTGTCCCTGCTTTGAACTCTAAATAAGACAACATACAGTTAGTCATGTGAAAACACGGGATGTTTGAAAAACAAACCAACCTTGGATAACGACTATCCTTGACTCTTATTAATGGTCATTGCAAAACATACAACCAATGGAAACTGTCTTCTTCGAAATTTGAAGGGAATTTTCTTTTCCAGTGGAGTTAAAGACATTCTTGAAATAAAAATGTGGTTTCTGTAACATCCCCAATTTCTCGGTTAGAAAAGACCGATTTGTTTATGCTTTGTTTTTAAAATCAGAGTAATCTTTTAAAGAAAACAGTTGCGGAATTTGTTCCCAAAATATGATAAAGATTTATCAAAGCATTTCTTTAAAGAAATGTATTTTCATTATATAACAAAATCTCGGGATGGCATGTTCCGATACAGACACATAAGCATAAACAGAACTTACATTATTTACACTAAAGATTTTACATCTCCTTTAATCTCTCCGTGAAATATATCTTCGTATCGATACCTGTGATACAAAGAAAACTGAGTGGGTCAGTGTCACACCCCAAAACCGGAACGACGGAAATGTTCTGGGGTGGATGACGTCATGTCAAGTATCACAACACGTGCATTATAGTAATCAAAGTACAACAAAACATTGCATTAATAGTAATAGTTTTACACTGTTT